TATATATAATCCCAAAAAAATAAAGAACTTGTTTATAATATGTTTTTTAATGTTTTTTATCATTTTGGTAGTGAGAGAGAAAAAACGCAACAGTCACAAAGAATTAAAAGTAACCAAGCTAAGACACAAATGCTGAAGAGAGATGAAATTAAACAGAATGCACTAACATACACCTCCTACCCCCTTTCCCTTCCTCTCAGTTTCCTTCCCCAAGTTCCTTTTCCATCTCACATATCTCTAAAGTGAAGGAAGCCTCTCATACTGAAAAACGAGGAATCCATCTCTACATTTAAACAAAGGTTTTTCACCAAATAAACAAACTAATCAATAGGGAAACGAAAGAAAGCTTCAGGCTAAATGAATTGAAGATGGGCCTGAAACAGCAGCAACCTGCTGAGCCCTTTGGGCCTCGCCTCTGTAGACACATTTCAACTCTTTCTTCGCTCTCCTTGCTTCCCTTCTCTCCCCTTTGATAGCAGTCTGACCACATTAGATGTAATAAAAAAGAAGAATTAGCTTAACAAGGATTGGAAAAAACAAGTAACTCATGTCACAGTAGCTGTAACATAAAAATCAGTTCGTGACCATGCTGACAATATCATTTTAATTTGTTTTTGGAGAGACTTTCGAAATGTAGGATCTCAAAAGGGATTTCTTGGGGAAACTTCAGGAGAAATTAGGAAAATGGAAAACTCTGAACAAATAAAGACCTGAAACAAACAATAACAGAAGGAAAAGCAAAATTTTATGCATGATTCCAAAAGATTGCTTTTTTAAAAGGAAAAGTGTAACTTATTCTGTTTGCGCGTCCACACATGAATTGATTGATGGCCTTGTTAGTTCTTGTACATTGTTATACATGAGCATTCAGATTTTTCATGAGAACTTCTATTCGTTCACATAAATTTGTTTGAGCACAACTAAATCTTTCAAAATAATGCAGGAGCAAACCTTTTTCACATTAAAAAGATTAATTTTTCAGTTGAAACAAATTACTTCTAGCATGATCATATTTTTCTCTTTATGGTGCAAGGAAAAACTTGCAATGGCAATAACTACTTCCTTTTTTCCATAAGATTTTCAAAATTAGATCATTAATATTTTTTACCTAGCTCAAGATTTATCCAAATGTGTGTGTATAATATATATATTACCAATGTCGAGAAATTCCCATACCTTCCGTTCCTTCTTTTCCTCCTTTGTCTCCCCAAAGCGAACCCTTCCCCTCTTCTCCTGACCCCCAGATTTCACCTCCCCAGCACTATCCATCTTTTTCCCAAGTGGCAAGAACTCCACTGGTAACTTCTCCTTGCCTCCAAGGGAAATCAAAGGACTCTTGATATCTTGCTTTCTCGACACCAACTCACTTAACTTCTTTCTAGGTTTTTCAGGTGACCCGATCTTTGCAGGGTGGTTATCTAGATTTGAATAAGTAGAAATCACAGACTCACAGTCCCACACTTCAGACTCATCGCTGCTCTCCTTGATCTCCATTACTCCCTCTTCTTCTCCTTCAACATTGTACTTTTCAGCATATTCTGAACATTTACGGATCACTTCTACCAAAGAATTTGATGGGTATTCCTCTATTTTATCTGGGTGTTTTGGATGAATAAAATCGGCAGGTACTCTGTACTTGTCTAGGAGGTCAAGCTCATCCACTGGGTGGCATTTCAGGGCATTGTTGAGCTTGGAAGCGAGAGGATCATCATCTTCTGAGGCGTAGTCATGACCCTCGAAATCCTCGCTGTTGTTGTCATACTCGCGGAGCATCATCTGTGATAAAACCGGTGTGTAAGATAATCCTTCTCAAGACTCAATCATAATTCAAAAAATAAATTAATTAATTAATTAAGAACAAAGAAATCCCTCTCAAGGCTCATTATAATTAGAAAAAAAACAAACAAACAAATCTCTCTCACGACATCATTCTGAAACTAAAGAGAAAAACAAATTCCTTCTAAAGACTTGACTTTTTCCGTTATTGACAGAAACTTTGCTCAAGTAAAATATGAGCATATAATGTATGCTATACCTCAAGTCCGATTACTACTACCAAACCACACAAAAAATATGAGCATATGATACAGGATGAAAATAACAACTCTAACCAATTTTGGTAAATTTTAAAAGCAGATCACAAGAAAGTGGGGTCCTCACTCCCCCACCCACCCTTCCCCTCTGGAGCTGAAACTACACTAGTATCATCCATATGCAAATTGAAATCATCAAGGAAGTCATCATTATGGGCTGGTTCTTATACATCTACATCTCATGAAGACGCATCATTTATTTGGAAGTGCATTTGGTTCAAATTCATTCATCCTCTTCAAGATCATCATCTCTTCTCCTGTGAAGACTTTCACATTTTTGTATTCAATTTAAATATCCAATAGTCCAAAAAATCATTCATCTAGAGCTCCAATCTGGATGTTTGTCACAGAAGCCACAAGCCCTGGGAACAGCAACACACACACAATTTTAAAACCATGACACAACAAACCCCTCGTGATCATGCAAGCTGGATAGCATTTCAGACCAGTATGACCCATGACAAGCTTGCTACATGACCCTTCAAGGATGTAATTTGGTGCTTACCTCATGTTTCAATGGAGTGGTTATTACGAGTTCCATTTGACTTTCAATATGTTGGTAAATTGAACATCACAATGGATTTATCAATTCATCAACCCCAATATCAGCACAAATTTCACAAATATTCAGCCCCACACTCGTTCGATTGTGCAAATACACCACCTCAACAAATGATAACACTAGTCAACAAGAATGCAGCAAGGGCACCCAAGTTAGCTCACCTGGGTAGCTAACAAAGCCACGTATTGAAAGATAAAAAACCAAGTCCAAAAAAATTTACTGTTTTTCACCAGAGTCGTCCTGCCGATTCGTCTCAGATCAGGACCATGACGAATCCCAAACTGAGTCTTTTGTTTGAACTCAGGATCAGACTATAACTCTGAGAGGGCTAACTGTAGGATTCTATGAGCAAAACAAAAAATGCATTATGAAGTATGAACATACAATAAAAGAGCAACATGGATGAATGAACAAACTACAACATAGATGGCCAAATGATTAAAATTCAAAACCAATAACCAATAACCATGGCTTATCCCCAAATGTAAGCTTTACTTCCACCATAAACCAAAATTTGAAAGGCTATATGGCATAAACCGGTCCATTATTAAATTCACTTCGCTTTGACTTCTTCGGCCATTTTCTTCAGGCAAAGCAAAGCAAATCACTCCCTGATATATTTCAATATATCGCTAATGATATGAAAAAATGCACCTGATTTATTCAAAAAGTGGAAAATACTTCCACAATATTAAAAATTTTGTAGAACTACCTCTGTGATATTCAGAACTTTGAAAATACAACTTAAACATCGATATATTTTAAAAAATTCCTTGTACTGCATAATTTTTTAAAGGTATTTCTTTTTTTTTTTTAACAAGAAAGCAGAAGGCTTCCTCCAAATTGGTGAAGAGCAGAAGCACCTCCATTCCCAGCCAACACAAAAAGAAACCTCCGAAATTAATCATAAAACATTGCTAGTAATCAATCTATATAACATTCAGGAGAAGTACTAAGAGAACACATTTGACACAAAGCACTGGCTATAGTGTGCCAAGGCCTGTGCTCATCAAGAACATACATGGAATAGTGTGCTAAGGCCTGTGCTCAGTAAGAACATACATGGAAAGGCATGTTATCAGCAAGAGCACCATCGACTTAGGCTACAAGTTGGGAAAAAGAAGCATATTTGGCAACCACATGTCCAGAAAGGTACATTCATTGCATAATTTACAATACAAACATAATTGGAGTATTTAAAACATTGCACGAAGTTTACACATATTATGACTTAAAATCGTTGAGCACATCTAGTCAAATAGAAGGGAGTTAACCTGGGATATTACATATTTGTGTGCTATGAATGACAGGCTTGAAACTTGTCCATCTGATCTTAAAAAGGTGTGAAGTATTTATTTGCAGAAGAAGTGTGAAAGGAGAAAACGTGGATGAGGGATTCGAAGGACAGAGAATCATCAAAAGATTCGACATTTGATAGTAAAACTTTACTCAATCAACTTTCTTGTACAACAGATAGTAAATGGAAAAGGTTGAAGGCTGCTTTGGTCATTCATTTGGTATATGAGAAGCATCAGCATGCAGTTTGCCATGCCTGAATAAGTGCTGCAGTGCTTGATTGGGGAGTATCTTACTTTCACATTGCCCAACTCATCAAGATATTCAGCAACTAGACATGGCATACCCAGAAAAAATAATGAAGGTCACCAAAACTGTTTCTTTTTTTTTAAAAAATACCAAACCCCTTGACAATTTTGCACATATTTCTACTTTTTTTTTGTTTTTTAATGCTAACAAGTATCAAAGTAGAGTTTATATGTCATTTCAAGAACAACAGTATAAATAAATACCTAAACAGATCCAGCAATCTCAATAATGAAGGTAACTCATAATTTCTTGTTTTAATAAGAAAATAACCCCTTGGAAAATTACAATCTAAGCTAAGATATCCGAAGGTAACCATGACAATATGCAAGTGGCCTATGACATAGACACACATTATAGTGACTCGTAGAGCAGCAAACATCGAACTGGAATAGCCTAACCACATAAATAACAAATAATCCCTTCCACAAATGTTAAATACTCAAATTATTGCCCTCTCAATCGATGATATCACAGCTCAAAGCTATTGTGCACAAATGCAAGTCCGATTTTGTTCACCTCAGTCTGTCACATATATTATACATCTACCTTAAGCTAACTTATGACTTGGATTTTCATATCCCTTAGAAGCACACCTAAAACCAAAACTCAGATTGTATAAATCAACTTAGATTTCACTTTATTAGAGTCTTCCGATGATAAGTTTGAACATAAATTAGTTCGATTCAGTATCAGTTAACATGTAAGGAATAATATCCTGAACAAGTTGAACTAGTAATCTAATTTCCTAACATATTGTCTAAACAAAGATTGAGGGAAACTTGTTGGTTGGTTGGAAAACCTTTTCCTCAAGAACTTGTTTCCAAAATAGGGATGTCTTATCCCTGAAATTTGTGTTTCCCCCTGTATTTCAATGTCCCTATGCAACCCAATTCCCAAGATTTTACTTTAAATTGTCCAAGCATTTTCCTGAATTTTTTTGTAGCCTAAGAAGTGATTCCCATTCTACAAGGTAAACTGTTTTCTGGCACTTCTTTATCTTAGTCCTGAACTTGATTGTCATGAAGTATAAGAGAAGCAACTTACCAAATCGAATTGCTCGTCCAAGGGCCTGCGTAACCTCACCTCCTCCTCATTGCCTACACCACTCACCCCTTTAAAGCCACTACTAACTGGTTGGTCATCATGATCATCACTCACGCCGGCTTTCTTCAAAGGAGAAAGAGTGTCATTATCTCTAACCTTCAAACTTCTAGAACCACCTACATCTTCACTTTGTTCATCATCACCTTCATCAGCTAGATTAGCTTGAACCACAAAATCCTCTTCCAAGTCCTCCACATCAGAACCAAACTGTGAACCGTCTGAATCATTGAGCAATGCAACCACCTCAGGATGCACGACCTTTTGAACCCTGACTCCATATGTTTTTGAAGCCACTCTATATAAATCCTCTGAAGCCTCAGACTTGATTTGCAGTTTTGATGCATCATACGCCTAGAAAAATGAAGAAACCAAACATAAGGTATTATAGAAAGAAAACATGAATGAGCATCAGTTAAGTATCATAAATCCTAAAAAAGAACAAACCAAAAGGTCCATGACTTTCTACAAAAGAGACAAGCACCACATTATCTGAAATAGAAAAAAAACAAAAAACCTTTCAACTGAAAAAAGATTATGCCATCTATTCATTTAAATTTTCAGATTTATTCAGATCTTATATGCACAGGTGTTTGCTCAACAAAGCATTGCCCATAATTGATAAATAATTACAACATAACTACAAAAAAAAAATTGAGTTTTTTAATTCTAACATTAGGACTCCTTTGAGTTGAAAGTAATTAATTTTAAACATGAGACTCTGAGTCAGTATAAAAAATAAAGATTTTGATAAGTAAAAACAGATGCTGAAAACCAATGATTTAAAGATACCAAATCCAAAATTAAGAACTTAAATTATAAAGCTGTGACTAAGGATTTACTAAATGGTTTCAATTACTTAACCAAATATTTTTATAAGCAGAACCCAAAAAAAAAAAAAGACAAATGAAACAGGCAAATTTGAAATAGCAATTACACTGTGCAGGAAATATACAGTAATTCTCCAAACCCTAACCTTTACGTCGAGACGAACTTGGTCCAGTTTCGCTTTGCTGTTCTCGTAGAATGCAGAACCGCCTCCTGATTGCTTGATCTCCCTCAAGTGTTGAAGATAGTTATACCCATCATCAGGAAACCCTAACTCCAAAATCTCCCTCCTAATATGATCACGAAGAGGACCTGAAGAGAAGGAACTCTCAAAACCTCCAATTCTAGGGTTTCCCAATATCTCTGCAACTTCTTCATCACTATCATCATCTTCATCAGCATCTGCAAATATCGATTCATCAACTGGTTCCTGATTTTGGTTATTCGAAGCAAAACAATCTTCTTCTGAGAATCCGTCAACGCAGTAAGGATTATTATCAACCCTAACGAAAACCCTATCACTCGAAGCTTGGGCTTCTGATGCTGGTTCAGATGAATCCCTAGCGAGGAGGCAAAAAGTTGCAGACTTCTTCTTGTCCACGAAAGACTTCTTCTTTCTCCCCATCTTCACTGACGGACAACCAGATACGAACCCTAGAAATTACGTTGAGAATTGCAAACCTTCTCTGTGCTTTCTCTCCCTCAAGATGCGTAATCTCTCCCTCAACCAGAGAACAGGGTTTAGAGAAACCCTAATTGCTGTTTTTATTTTTCTGTTCGCGGGCTTGTTTTACTGGTTTTTGTGTCACTTGTTTAGGGTTTTGCAAGTTGAGTTCTTTGGGGAGATATGCTAGTGGGACTGTTATTCAACAGTTAGGGGTGGCCACCCGGCTGGACCCGGACCTGGATTCCGACCCGATTTAAAAGTTAAAATATTTATATATGTAATTATATTTAAATATGTGTTATGTATTGAGACTAGACAAATGTTACTAAACTCGGACCCTAACCAAGACCTAAATATTGTTTGGGTTCAAAATTTGGACTTAAAAAATTTCAAGTTTTAATCCCATACCCAAATTCGACTTAGATCTATCACTCAAACTTGAATTAGAACTACCGCTCGGGTGCCGGGTCGGTTACAAGTCCATTGCCACCCCTGAAACTTCTATTGAAAATGATGGTTTTTATGTCGGTTGTTAAAGTGGCATGGAAATAATTTCCTCATTGCTCTCTTATTTGTGTGAAAACTCTCTTGGCTATTGAAAAAAATCTCGGTTGAGCAACTATTATTGGAATTCGGGAAAGGCGCTCGGGTTGTGGTGGTAGCACACCATATCTTGATCACTCCGTTGTGGTTTCTATTCCCACCGCTAACACCACCCACTAATGCTTTGAAAAAGCTAATTCTTCATTTATTTAACTAACTCCTAATCTATTTGAAAAAGGGTGTGGTTAGGCTTTAAACAATCAAAGTAGAGCGTACCTTCAAATAATGTCGAGAAATATGGTTTCAATATTGAATTTTTTTTTGGGTAATAATACTGAAAATTTAAAGCTTCAAAAATAGTGTAGAGAGAGAAGATCTATGAAAACTCGAAAATCTTGAAAATTGACGGTCTAAAAAATGCATTACAAGATGTACTATTTCCAAAAATTTGAAATCTATTTTTTTCTCATGTCCATGCATCTTGATTTCGAGATGCTCAATTTAAGAATATTTGAGCATCAAAACAACCTATTCTAGTAAATTTGTTAGGTGTGCTCTAATTTGATTGTTTAAAGCCACAGCTCTGTATAAACTTTTTCTTTGAAAAATGAGTAGGCGCCTATCTTCTCCATTGAATTATCAAAAAAAAAAAATTGAATTTTGACAGTTACAATAATTGAATAAATTAAAGTTTAAAGAAAATTATGTTAATGTCCTTTGGAATTGTATTATTAAGGAACGCTCACTATTTTTTTATTTTAGGTGCATAATTGTCACACCCCAAGAATTTACAATACTATTATTCCTGAGATGTGACGGACAAAACATATATATATCTATTGATAGGACAAATTTACAGTGGCGAGGTCTTACATAGTAAATAAAGAAAGCTAGCACAACAACAGTATCTTCCAAGGTTGATCTTGACTAGCACTCAAAATGAATCCGTAGTTATCCTGAAAAAAATGTTTACCATAGTTTGATGAGTTTGGCTACTCAGTAAGTGATCATCATAATCCTAAAAATAATCATGATTGAAAGATATCAATATTTTCCAAAATGAGATCTAATAACAGAAATGCATCAACAGTTTCACTTTCAATAAATGCATAATTTAAGTATAATCCGAGTAATTGAAATGCTTATAACACTTTTAACGGCAGTACATAATTCAAAGGATTTCACAAAATACCCTACTGGCGTCCCAAGTAGGTCACCTATATACCCCATCAGTGTCCTGATGGGTCTACTTAATCCCTATCGGCGTCCCAGATAGGTCCACTTAATCCCTACCGG